CTGGAGGCTGGGAAGTCTAAGATCAAGGCGGCAGTAGATGTGGTGTCTGGTGAGGACCAGCTTTTGGCTCTTAGATGGCCATCTTCTCACTGTGTCCTCACATGGTGGAAGAGGCAATAGAATGCTCTGGGGTCTCCATTATAAGGGCACTAATCCAATCATGAGGGCCCCATCTTTATGACCTAATCACCTCCCAAAGACACCACCTCAAATACCATCACATTAGTGGTTAGGATTTCAACATATGAATTTTGCTGGGACACATTCAGTCCACAACATACCTAGATTTATAGAAGCATCGTGACAGCCAGTACAAGGGAGAGCCACACTACCCCACCTCACCCACAGGCAGGCATGCCAGTGACCTTGTACTTAGTGAGCAGGCTCCAGAGGGAATGGAGGCAAGGCTGAGAAGTCCCACTTCTTGGCCCCACCTAGCCCTTCCTTCATCATTGCCAAACTTGTTGATCTAGGCTTGATGTGATTAAAGGAATTATGTGGTCCCTAACAGTCCTGTATGACCTGGGGGAAGTTACCTGACCTCTCTGTGGCTGTCTCCTTAGCTGTAAAATGTATATCACAGGATTATTATAAGTATTAAATGACTTGATGTTTGTGAAATTCTTAGAGCCACGCCTGATACAGTGTAAGCACTATATACATGTTTGATTATATAACAAAAACAATCATTATCATGTTATTATATATCGCACCTCAGGTAAATTGACACAACATTGATGGTTATTAGCCATTAGTAGGTATGGTAGGCAGAATTCTGAAATGGCCCCAAGATTCTGGGCCCCCGGTGTACACACTCCTTCTGCTAGTTATTAAATTAAACACTAATCTAGGTGCTCATTTGAAGGGATTTTTCAGGTGTAATTAAGGTCCCAAATCAGGAGATTATCCAGGTAGGCCTGACCTCATCAGGTGGGCCCTTTAGAAGCAGAGAGTTTCCTCCAGCTGGTCACAGCATAGGAATGCAGGGAGATGCACTCCACGGCCTGGAAGAAAGCCAGAATCCATGTTGTGAACTTCCTACGGAGGGGACCACATGGCAGGGAACTGTGGGTGGTCTCTAGATACTGAGAGCAGTCCTCAGCTGACAGCTAGCAGGCATGAAAACAGGGACCTGAGTCCCACAGGTGCAAGGTACTGAATTCTACCAACAACCAGTCATCTTGGAGGAAGACCCCTGAGCCCTGGATGAGAACTGTGGCCTTAGCCAGCACCTTGATTTCAGCCCTGTGAGTCCCTGAGCAGAGAATGCAGTCACGCCATGCCTGGACCTCTGAGCTACAGAAACGATGAGATAATAAATTCATGTTGCTTTAAGCCACTAAGCTTGTGATACTTTGTTATGCGGCAATAGAACACTAATACAGCAAGAAAAAAAACAAACATGCAGAACTCGCAAATGCACCGCCAGACGATGTTGTTCAAAGCCCAGACAGCTTCCCCTCCACCCTGCCCGTTACAGATAATGATTTTTCACTGACGAAATCAGTACCAAATACTCTCAGTTCGAAAAAAATTTCCTTTGCCACGCGGGGCTTTGTCCCACGGGAAGGCATTGTTCGCCAGCATCACTGACAGGGCAAGGCTGACCCACCTGCTTCAAGACGCAGCAAGTCTGGGGGCTCCTAGGCTGGTTCCCGTGGCTGGGGGAAGAGCTGGGTGATGTTCCATCTAAACCCGGCACAGCCTCCTGACCTCATGCCGAGACCTTTGACCTAAGGACGTGGCTCCGCCTCCACTTCCAAGGCCTTCCGGGAAACTAAGCAGGGGCTTTAGGACCCAGGAACCAGAGCTCTGGGATTTACTGAAGAAAATAGAAGGCAGGGCGTATAATGGTTAAGAGCTCTGGCCTCTCCATTAAACTCTGGCTTCGGGTTTCCCTCGTGGCGCAGAGGTTGGGAATCCGCCTGCCGAGGCAGGGGACATGGGTTCGTGCCCCGGTCTGGGAGGATCCCACATGCCGCGGAGCGGCTGCGCACGTGAGCCGTGGCCGCTGAGCCTGCGCGTCCGGGGCCTGTTGCCCCGCAACGGGAGAGGCCACAGCAGTCAGAGGCCTGCGTACCGCAAAAAAAAAAAAAAAAAAAAAAAAACTCTGGCTTCACCACCTGTGACTTCTTGCAAATTCCTTTCCCCCTGTGCACCCCCATCTGTAAAATGGGGATACCAGAGTTGTGAAGGTTGGAAGGTAAGGCTTATAAAACACTGGTGCGAGGGGTCTAGCCCTTAGCAAGCCCTCCAAACCGCGAGCTGTTGTTTAGCTGATTTTGTTGCCGATCAGGTCTTCTACGCTAGCCCTAATGCTGGGCTTTCATCAGATTGTAAATGCCCAGCCCCACCCCGTGCCCCAGATCAGACAGCAGAGCACATCTCGTTCCATTGTTTCTGAGCCCGAGTGACTGCTTAATGACTAACTACTCCAGCCTGGAACATGGAGTATCAAACCATGTCAATTAGCCCCAATATAAACGCAGAATAAAGCAATCATCCTTCGCTGGCCTCTTCTTGCCTTCTTCTTGTACCAAGTGGTCAGTGTTTCTACTGGATAAAACCAAGGGAATGTAGTAAACTTACAGTATGAGACTGGGCTACAAGAAATGTGTGGGAAGTTTGCACTCTTAAAACTGACAAAGTAATTAGCATTTTTAAAAGATGGTTTCACGATGCTAAAAATTTACATCCCTCATTCAAAAAGGTGGGGTTCTATTAAATGTCACCGAACAAGCTTTGATGATGGAATTTATGAGGCTGTGCCAGATCGTGATGATAAAGCGTTCAAAGGTATATATCACTTATAAATATAACCACATCTAGACTCATAAACATAGACTTCCTATTTAAATAGAATCTTCTTTCTGAGCACTGCTAAGTGAAGTAATTTGAAATCTTCCTAAGTTGCAATGAGGCAGGTGGTGGTGGTATTTTTCCCATTTGTGCAGATGACCATCTATTATATGGATTTGCAACTTGGTTAACTGGCTGGAAGATCTGAGAAGAAAAATGCTGTTCTAGTACTTTTGTACAGTCCTGGGTTAAGCTCAGAGAATTTGGCCAAGAGAAGATTAACGTAATCAACGTTCTGTCCGATACATTTTCTATGAGAAACCAGGCTATTTAAAAAAGAAACAAACAAACAAACAAAAACCTACTGTTTTCAAAAAGAAAACTATAGCAAAATGCCTAAGCTCCTTACTCCTTAGCAAATAATTCTCCCAACTAGAGTGTGAGATCCAGAAAGTCAGAACCTTTGCCCATCTCCTTCACTGTGGCTACCCTGGTGCCTAGAATAGTGCACTCACTAAATATGTCCTGAACAAATGAACTGATGAAATTAACTGAACTAGCAAGTGGTATGCTGTTGGTGTTCGTTTTCTGTCTAAATTCTGAGCAGTTAAAAATGTAAACGTGATCAGACAAAAAAAAAAAAAAAAAAAAAAAAAGCAGGGAGGTGATATAAATTCACATTTGAATTTCTGAGCACACTGGAAGAGAAGAAAACCCAATGTCAATGGAATTTACCACTACAAAGTTTTCATCCCTGCATGGAAATTTCCAGAGCCTATGTTGTAAACCATCTTACAATGGGGTCATTTATGAGGAGCAACTGCTTTGCTTAAATGATTGTGTGCCAGCAGCGCCATCTTCTGGGTAACTAGTTGGGCATTTTAGAACAATATTCTGGAGTCTTCTTTTTCATATAGCAAACTGAATTTAGAATCACAAAAAATTACATAGGAAATATCTTTACAGGTCATCTAGGCCATATGTCATCTTACAGGTAAGGATTTGCCTTAAGTGGGTACAACATTTTCTTACTTTCTCTTGATCCAACGGAGCGCCAAATTCATGTCTCCGAGAGAAGACAAACTACAGCCATCATTACTAAATTATATCACAGGTCTCATATAAACCAGAAACTGAAAGGCAGTTAAAATCCATTTGTCGAGCATCTGAACAGTGCTGTCGAATAGGAATTTCAGCAACAATGGAAAAACAGAACTTTCTGTGATGATCTATACATGTCTGTGCTGTCCAATACAGTAGTCACTGGCCATGTGTGGTTATTAAACATCTGAAATGTGGCTAATGACTCTGAGGAACTGGATTTTTAATTGTATCTAATTTTAATTAATTTACATTTTTAAAATAGCCACACACGGCTAGTGTAGGGGTTCTCAACCTTGGCACTATTGACATTTTGGGCTGGATCATGCTTTGCTGTGGTGGCTGTCTTGTGCACTGTAGCGTATTTAGCAACAGCCCTGGCCTCTACCCACTGGCCAGGCATACCCTCGCCCTCAGTTGTGACAATCATAAAAGTCTCCAGACATTGCCAAATACCCCCTAAAGGGAAAAATCGCCCCTGGTTGAGAACCACTGGGCTAGTAGCTATTGCACTGAACAGCACAGTTCTAGAAGATGCCTGATATGTATAGGACATTTGGTTGAGAAAAGAACTGCCCACTATCCTACACTAGGGCAGTTGTGGTCTTGTTATAAGAACAGGGAAGGTTAAAAAAAATACAGTCAGACGTAGTCAAAGCAATGTCTTGCTTCTTTCATCTTCCTTCCCCTGTAGCAGAGATGGAGCCAGGAGAGTGATACTGGAAACTTCTGTCTCCCTCACAAGTCCCCAGGTTAGCAATAGAAAACCTACACACGAATCTGGCTGCCTGTCCTCCCTGGGGGTAATGGGACAAACTGACTTCCCTGAGTCTCAGGGTCTCACCTGGAGAAGGGGAGAGCATAGTACCCACCTGGTGGGGTTGCCGTGAGGGCTAAATTAGGTGAAGCGTCAAGTGTTCCCAGCTCAGTGCTTGGCACGATCAACACCATAGTTGTTATCTTAGCCACCCTCTTCCAGGCGGCAGGGGGCGGCGGGGTGTGGTGGAATTTTTCATGCCCTCCAACCAATAACACAAAAGTACCCAGTATGTTCCTTTACAAATAAAAATCTCCTTGAAAAAAAAAATAGCCAAACTCTAATAAACCTGACTTTATTTTAAAATCCCAGTGGCCTCAACACTGGATAACGTTTGTCTGTTGTTTGTGATGCCATTCCCTTGACACATTTAAATGTGGAGGAGAAACCATTTCAGCTCCTCAGGGAGGCTGAGTCCGGTGATCTTATGATGTTGCTTGATCCCAAAGCACTTCCAAATTCTAAGGCGGCATAACTGCATCAAAGAAGGGGGCCCTGGAGAAAGATGATAAGACAAGTCACCCATGGGTTTCACTGATCTAAGACTTTTCCCTTCCTTCGTTGAAAGCATACAATCAATGACACTATTATAAGGAAATAATATGGTGCAGCTTAAGACCATGTTCTGCTTTTTGTAGGAGGCATTTTTAGGCCATGTTCTCTCTTTTCTGGTATCTCATTGTAATGAGTTTGCTAGGTTTTGATTTAGAACAAAGAACTTCAAAGCTCAGTCTCACCAATGGAGGCTTTGGGGAGCTAATTTTGGAATTACAAAAGTATGGAAATCCCAGCAATGACAAGAAAATCCATGTTTAATGCCTTCCTTGTCTTTACCTTTAAAAAATATAAGGTCATATTTCTGGATGCAAATACCTTTATAATTTAGCAGTTTTAAGATATTCAAATATAAGAAGCTTTCAGTGAAGCGTAAATGTTACCTGAAGTCATATTTTTTTGTTTTTAACATCTTTATTGGAGTTTAATTGGAGTTTACAATGGTGTGTTAGTTTCTGCTTTATAACAAACTGAATCAGTTATACATATACATATATCCCCATATCCCCTCCCTCTTGCATCTCCCTCCCACCCTCCCTATCCCACCCCTCTAGGTGGTCACAAAGCACTGAGCTGATCTCCCTGTGCTATGCAGCTGCTTCCCACTAGCTATCTATTTTACATTTGGTAGTGTATATATGTCCATGCCACTCTCTCACTTCGTCCCAGCTTACCCTTCCCCCTCCCCATGTCCTCAAGTCCATGCTCTAGGTCTGCATCTTTATTCCTGTCCTGCCCCTAGGTGCTTCAGAACCATTTTTTCTTGTTTTTTTTAGATTCCATAAATAGGTGTCAGCATACGGTATTTGTTTTTCTCTTTCTGACTTACTTCACTCTGTATGACAGACTCTAGGTCCATCTACCTCACTACACATAACTCAATTTCGTTTCTTTTTGTGGCTGACGAATATTCCATCGTGTATATGTGCCACACCTTCTTTATCCATTCATCTGTCGATGGGCACTTAGGTTGCTTCCATGTCCTGGCTATTGTAAATAGAGCTGCAGTGAACACTGTGGTACGTGACTCTTTTTGAATTATGGTTTTCTCGGGGTATATGCCCAGGAGTGGGATTGCTGGGTCGTATGGTAGTTCTATTTTTAGTTTTTTAAGGAACCTCCATACTGTTCTCCATAGTGGCTGTATCAATTTACATTCCCACCAACAGTGCAAGAGTGTTCCCTTTTCTCCACACCCTCTCCAGCATTTATTGTTTCTAGATTTTTTGATGACGGCCATTCTGACTGGTGTGAGGTGATACCTCATTGTAGTTTTGATTTGCATTTCTCGAATGACTGGTGATGTTGAGCATCCTTTCATGTGTCTGTTGGCAATCTGTATTATCTCCTTTGGAGAAATGTCTATTTAGGTCTTCTGCCCATTTTTGGATCGGGTTGTTTGTGTTTTTGATATTGAGCTGCATAAGCTGCTTGTAAATTTTGGAGATTAATCCTTTGTCAGTTGCTTCATTTGCAAACATTTTCTCCCACTCTGAGGGCTGTCTTTTGGTCTTGTTTATGGTCTCCTTTGCTGTGCAAAAGCTTTTAAGTTTCATTTGGTCCCATTTGTTTATTTTTGTTTTTATTTGCATTTCTCTAGGAGGTGGGTCAAAAAGGACCTTGCTGTGATTTATGTCATAGAGTGTTCTGCCTATGTTTTCCTCTAAGAGTTTGATAGTATCTGGCCTTACATTTAGGTCTTTAATCCATTTTGAGTTTACTTTTGTGTATGGTGTTAGGGAGTGTTCTAATTTCATTCTTTTACATGTAGCTGTCCAGTTTTCCCAGCACCACTTATTGAAGAGGCTGTCCTTTCTCCATTGTATGTTCTTGCCTCCTTTGTCATAAATTAGGTGCCCATATGTGCATGGGTTTATCTCTGGGCTTTCCACCCTGTTCCATTGATCTGTATTTCTTTTTTTGTGCCAGTACCATACTGTCTTGATTACTGTAGCTTTGTAGTATAGTCTGAAGTCTGGGAGCCTGATTCCTCCAGCTCCGTTTTTCTTTCTCAAGATTGCTTTGGCTATTCAGGGTCTTTTGTGTTTCCATATAAACTGTGAAATTTTTTGTTCTATTTCTGTGAAAAATGCCATTGGTAGTTTGATAGGGATTGCACTGAATCTGTAGATTGCTTTGGGTAGTATAGTCGTTTTCACAATGTTGATTCTTCCATTCCAAGAACATGGTATATCTCTCCATCTGTTTGTATCATCTTTAATTTCTTTCATCAGTGTCTTATAGTTTTGTGCATAAAGGTCTTTTCATATTTGTTTTTATATTCTGCATTCAGAGTTGTCCCAGTGCTTCAATTCACAGGTGAAAAGTGAACTAGCACAAACCTTGCATAGGGATCCAGCCAAGTGTTTACATCTTAAGACAGCGATTCTCAAGGGGGGAGGGGAGTATTTTGCTCCCTAGGGACACTTGGCAATATCTGGAGCTAATTTTTTTGTCACAAC